ATAAAGGGCTAATAACCAGAATCTACAAAAAACTCAAGAAAAAATCAAACAACCCCTTTAAAAACTGGGCAAAATATATCTTAAATAGAATAAGTTTCAAAGATAACTGCTTTGTAGCAACCCTGTGAGCAGGCATTCTTATGGGTTGAATAGTGTCCCATAAAAATATATTAATATGTTAACCCCTAGTAACTAAGAATGTGCCCTTATAGGAGAAAGGGCCCTTTCAGATGTAATTAGTTAAGATGAGGTCATATTAAATCAAGGTGGGTCCTTAATCATGTATGGGTAATGTCCTTATTAAAAAGGAAGAGGCTCAGGGACAAAGAGAGATAGTGGGATAACATGTGAAGAACAGACATACAGAGGGACAGCAGCAATATGATGATGAAAGGAGAGAATAGAGTAATGCAGCTGCCAGTAAGAAACAACAAAGATTGCCTGGAGCAACCAGAAACAAGGAAGACATGGTACCACCAACACTTTGATATCAGACTTACAGTCTGCAGAACTCTGACAGAATGAATATCCATATTAAGCTGCCCAGTTTGTGGTAACTTGTTATGGCAGCCCTAGAAAATGAATACAGGTATTACTTGTTCCATTTTGCAAATGAGAAAACAGAGTCTCAGAGAGATTAACTACTTAGCCACATGAGTGAGGAGCATTCTCACCTCATATAATCTAATAGTAGAGCAGAGAGGATATGGGTTAGAACAGATTGGTGACCCACAGATGCCATCATGAGTGTAGATATGCTTGCCTTGACCCTCAGAGATGTGATTTCTGTTAACATTGAATTATTTATCATAAGTTTAAAAATTGTAAGATTTCAAATAAAGTTTAAGATTTTAGGCCTCTCTTGCCTGAATTTCCACATGGAAATAATTACGTGAAACTGAGTCCATGATGCTGCATTCCTGCATTCTTATGCTCTCCTGTTTTTTTCTGTCCCCACCTAACTTGATTAACTTAGTAAATGTTCCCTGCCAAGCCTATGGGGTTGAGATATTTGTAGCCTCTGCTTGGGAGAC